GCATCTTGTGCACATCGACAATAAAATGTATTAATATTGCTGAATCTTTGAAGTTTATGAAAACGCTTGATGTGCATTCGCAAAAACAAAGAGATTGCTCTTAACCAGGATGGTCGTCAAAGTGATAACAAGCTTTCGACCCTTTTCTTTTCTCACAACCCTTGCAGCATTCACTCCTGCAAGTTTTACAGATAGAAATTTGAAATGTTCAAGATCATTCCTCTGAAACACTAGATTCGATTCCTCGAGTGTTTACCAAAGTGCCGATCACCAAAACTTAATGCTTAGTAAACGATATAAAGTTTCTACAAACCTCGAGATTGGATGTTTCTTCCAATCCAGCTCGACGGCACCTGTCATAACGGATGAGTACGGGCACGCTTCGAGATGAATGGTTTGATCATCCAAGAAATGCCTGAAAAGCTCATTCATTCGGGACATTTGATACAATTTCTGACTGCACGAATCAGGAAAAATTGGCGCTCACTTCTTGTACAAATCGGAGTCCCTCATTATGCGATAGCCGTGTCCAATTCTTTCTGCATGCATATCACTGATAGCCTAAATGGCGAAGAAATCCTGTACTGCATCGAATGAAATTTAGTGTTTACCCTTATCACTTCCTTAGCGCCTCCACTTTCTCCAGCATGAACTGTGCGATGGATTCCTCGTGCATGAGCTTCCTAAAAGCGAATAAAAAAAGTTGAAAGTGAAGAGAGAGCAAAATCGTTAACAGTCAAGCACATCTTTGACTGTTTTTATGAAATAACAGAAAAAATTGACGAAAGACACAAGATGACAGACGGTCAATGGTTTGATCAGCAGCTTTCTATTCGTATTTATGATTGTCGCGCATTTTTGCCTTCATCAAAAAGTTACTCAAAGCGATGAATTTTACACTACCTCTATTACTCGTCAGAAGAAGACGTACTCCAGGTAGTATCTTATAGTAATTCTGTTGAAGTGCACAAGTTCTTATAGGCAAAGGTAAGTATGAAATAAATATATTATGGCTACTGGAATGCCTGAATACTATAGTTAGACTGATAGAGATCCATTCACTAAAGGCTTTGAATTTCTTACAACTTCTTACATTTATTTGTTAGTGCTTCCAAAGCTTGCCATGAGGATGAAATCTCTTGCATGAAAGAAAATGTATCTTTCAAAAATGAGTTGGGATGACTGATGAAAGCTACATAAAGCAAAACAAGTACTTAAAATATCGAACGAGTAAAGGATTGCTATGACATCTAGATGTATCTGTTTTCCCTATCTGTATTGTTTTCCAAAGAACTGATAAACTGGCCATAGAAGTTGCTAGCAGTGTGTGAGAGCGGAACCCAAAAACGACTAAAAGAGTTTGTCAGAATCACGGTAAAAATCAATAATTATATAGTTTGACCCCTCACAACTATAGCCTCTGAAACTAGATCAAATGGCGACAACCGCAAGCGGATAGAGCCTGGGTTGTGGGGGCATATGATCTCAAGAAATTACGCAATTCTTGAGAAATCGCTCGGTGAAACTAATTGTCACGCGTATGCGGGCACAACATTATACAGCTACGATAAAATTACTCTCACTACTGTAGCCGGTACTGAAGTAAGGAGAGGACATACTCTCTAATAGGGTCCGTCAGCACGACACCTGGTACAAACTATAATGTCTGAAGATGCATTTTGAGCCAGAAGCGTGATGACCTCTACCCTATATGCTCTACACTTCGTAGACTATTTACGCCGCCCCGGATAAGCACTAGGGTCAAAAAATGGTTTGTTGCCACATATATAATACATTCATAAACAGTTAGCTGTTATTTTGATATGTAAAAATTATCAAGCAAA